CAAGAGGATACCTCAGGTCATGGGGGACGGGATCACCTCACAGCTGAGTACTACACGGCGCTGGGGGTCAGGCTGGTTGATGGCTGGGAACATTACTGGGAGGTGCACTCTGAACCAGACAGAAAGGCATTTAGCTTGGGGGTGGCCTACTGCAGTCTGGGCCACTTTCAGCAGCTAGGCAAGACTGCAGGGTCCTGGAGGCTGCTCATCAACACCTGGTTGTGGTGTCCTATCCTACAATGCCCATATCAAACAACTGCTGCACACCTTCAAGGCCAAGTTCACTCAGCCACTGCTGCCTGCTTTCAGTTTGGTGTGGCAGCTTACAGGTGACGACAGGCCTACAGGTTCCCAGCTCTGTATGCTACCTGCAGAAGAGAGGCAGGGCCACCAGCAGCTCCAACACTGGCCTCACCTAGGCCAGTGCACTCAGGCAGGTTGATTTTAGGGGCCACCACCAGGCCTGGGCTGTTTCAGCCAGGCACCCTCCTCTCACTTGGTGCTGGGAGCCTTAACTCCTAATGGGGATCACCAATAGGAAGCAGGCACCAGGGCAGGCCCTCCTCCCCAGCTCACTTCTTAATAAAAGTCTGAAAAACACTGGAAAAATCAGTTTTATTTTTCCCCTCATTAATGCAGTAGATAGCTTACTGTAATATAGTAACACCACCCAAACAAAATAAAACCAGAAAGCAAAATCAGCCCAGAACAAACACAACCTGCAACCATGACAACATTTTGTCAACAATCTAGACTTAGAAATTTAAGAGGCTTGGCAAAGGGATAAAATATTCTACTTTTGTTAATTCTGTCCATGGACTTCATTAAGATTAGTTAGTAGGAAAGTTTTTGTTGTAAGCTGATGGTTGCATTATTTAAGAGTATAGGGAGACACAAAGAGGATCCTGGTTCATTGGGAGACGGGAGTTACTGATAAAGGGAGAACTTATGGACATTTGAGAAGACTAAGGTTTTTCTTTCTGCAAGCTGTCTGTGGTTATATGATGGCTAATGACACATGCTTATCATTTCACCTCCACTCTTAAAGGCCGAGGCCCTGCTATATGGTCTCATCTACTCTATAAAACTCATACATTGTGGACATTATTCACAAGTGAGTGGAAGGACAAAGGAGTTCCTGGTTGATGAAGTGGTTTTAGCCTCATTTCTGTTGGGTGATTCTAAAAGTCCTGTCTCCTCACTGGCTTCTTTTGACTCCACCCCAGTAGAGAGGGGGGAGGGGCGCCTCATTATTGTGTGTGTGGAGGGGAGGTGGATGCACAGATTTCCCTCTTGGTCTCCATTGTGGATAAACACCAGTGATTGTTTGAATCTAGACTCCTAACAAGTTTATGAAAGTTAAACTGCCTCTAAATAAGACATTTTAATTTTTCAAAGGAGAGGAGACATTTGTAATTTTTGAGAAATCGAAGATAGCGCAAAAATGAAAGGGGGAATATACCTTCTGATTTTGTTCTGAAAAGTTTATCTTACTGCCAATTGTTACTTAACATGTTGATTTATTTGGCATTCTCCTACTTTATCTATTTGTGTGTGTATGTGTATGTGTGTGTGTGCTTTAGGTTTAAGATTAAGCAATTGTATTCTTAGAGGGAAGTTATAGTAACTTCACAGAAATATTTTGATCCCTCTGAAAGAAATTGCTTTTGCAATATTTTATCTGCATGCTGTTCTCTCACTGCATTCCACTTCTCGGAGACACAACTTTATAGGGATGAGTACATTGCTGGGAAAAATTTCTTCTACCCATTTTCGCAGGTCAGAAACCTTGGTTGCTGGAAGCTCATGGTATATTGTTCTTAAATAAAATAATAATTTTATAAGGAAGTTCTGGTCTTGGCTACATATTGGCAACATGTCTAACTAAATTTTTTTGTTTAAATTATCAACTTACTTTCATTACCTTCTACTCGATGTCAATTCATTGCACGGATTCACCCTGTATATGAGAATTTTATACCCTTTGACCAACATTTCCCCATTTTCCGCAAAAATGAAAGGTGGAATATACTTCTGATTTTGTTCTGGAAAATTTGCCTTACTGCTAATGGTTATTTAACATGTTGATTTATGTTGCATTCTCCTAGTTTATCTGTGTGTGCCCACACGCGCGCGTGTGCGCCCTTTAGGTTTAAGACTAAGCAATTGTATTCTAAGAGGGAAAGTTATAGTAACTTCACAAATATTTTGATCCCTCTGAAAGAAATTTGCTTTTGCAATATTTTATCTGCATGCTGTTCTCTCACTGCATTCCACTTCTCGGAGACACAACTTTATAGGGATGAGTACATTGCTGGGAAAAATTTCTTCTACCCATTTTCGCAGGTCAGAAACCTTGGTTGCTGGAAGCTCATGGTATATTGTTCTTAAATAAAATAATAATTTTATAAGGAAGTTCTGGTCTTGGCTACATATTGGCAACATGTCTAACTAAATTTTTTTGTTTAAATTATCAACTTACTTTCATTACCTTCTACTCGATGTCAATTCATTGCACGGATTCACCCTGTATATGAAAATTACTTATTTGGGCCATGATGGAGAGAGTTATGACCAAAACCTCCCCTTGTCTTCTGTGTGCTTCTCACCGTGTACAGAATCAAATTTAAGAGGCAGCTAAGGAGATTAGACTGTATGATGCCTCAGTGTTTTAAGGGACATGTCAGAAACTGTTGATGTTCAGATTTCAGGATAAAGGGGAAAATATCAATTCAGAAAGTAGACCCAAGCATGAAGGATACGAAGAGGCTACAAAAGCAAGTGTAGGGAAGAGCTATTATTTTTGATGAGGAATTATGACAAAGTATGAGACTGTCCACTTGAGGTACTGATTTTCCTTTCCAAATCTTGATGAGCCTTAATTGTGATCATTATTGCACTTCACTTTTCAGAGGTAATGGTATATTGTTCTTAAATAAAATAATAATTTTATAAGGAAGTTCCGGTCTTGGCCACATATTGGCGACATGTCTAACTAAATTTTTCTTTAAATTATCAACTTACTTTCGTTACCTTCTGCTCGATGTCAATTCATTGCATGGATTCACCCTGTATATGGAAATTACTTATTTGGGCCATGATGGAGAGAGTTATGACCAAAACCTCCCCTTGTCTTCTGTGTGCTTCTCACCGTGTACAGAATCAAATTTAAGAGGCAGCTAAGGAGATTAGACTGTATGATGCCTCAGTGTTTTAAGGGATATGTCAGAAACTGTTGATGTTCAGATTTCAGGATAAAGGGGAAAATATCAATTCAGAAAGTAGACCCAAGCATGAAGGATACGAAGAGGCTACAAAAGCAAGTGTAGGGAAGAGCTATTATTTTTGATGAGGAATTATGACAAAGTATGAGACTGTCCACTTGAGGTACTGATTTTCCTTTCCAAATCTTGATGAGCCTTAATTGTGATCATTATTGCACTTCACTTTTCAGAGGTAGTATTTCTCTGACTATTACAGATAATATCCAGTTCTGCCATATAATTTAGAAGGATTGGTCTAGGATTTAGCTTGCAAAATGCAATGGTAGAGAAACAGAAATGGCTACAGTTGTAAGTGCTTTAAAAGTGCTGCAGCTTAAAGAACTGTCAAGGAAAAGTGAAGAGAAATTTAGAAAAAAACTTTGTATATAAAAAAAGACATACTTAAGACTGGAAGAAATTTGATATAAAGGGTGAATGTGTGGATGAGGGAAAAAATGTTTACTTTTTTCTTTCTGCTTGAAATCTATTTTAACCAAATCTAGTTATTGGTATACTTTTATAGATTTTTTTTACAGGATAAAGGGGAAAATATCAATTCAGAAAGTAGACCCAAGCATGAAGGATATGAAGAGGCTACAAAAGCAAGTGTAGGGAAGAGCTATTATTTTTGATGAGGAATTATGGCAACGTATGAGACTGTCCACTTGTGGTGCTGATTTCCCTTTCCAAATCTTGATGAGCCTTAATTGTGATTATTATTGCACTTCACTTTTCAGAGGTGGTATTTCTCTGACTATTACAGATAATATCCAGTTCTGCCATATAATTTAGGATTGGTCTAGGATTTAGCTTGCAAAATGCAATGGTAGAGAAACAGAAATGGCTACAGTTGTAAGTGCTTTAAAAGTGCTGCAGCTTAAAGAACTGTCAAGGAAAAGTGAAGAGAAATTTAGAAAAAAACTTTGTATATAAAAAAGACATACTTAAGACTGGAAGAATTTTGATATAAAGGGTGAATGTGTGGATGAGGGAAAAAATGTTTACTTTTTCTTTCTGCTTCAAATCTATTTTAACCAAATCTAGTTATTGGTATCCTTTTATAGATTTTTTTTTTACCTGATGCCTAATAAACTCTCAATTGTGGTTTTAACTTACTCTTCAGCTCGAGAATATCTGTTTCCATTTTACTTTTGATTATTGTGTCTGTCTCATTTACTCAGGTTTTCCTATAGTACCACTGGGAATCCACAGGCTTAATCTCCATTTTCTTCTGTCTATCATGTTTGTTATCTATCTCACATTTTCATGGTGGCTTACTCAATTATTGGAGAGTTCCATATTTTTCATTCCCCTATTCAGATGAGGGGGTGGGAGGCACACTATTATGCACAGTCCCAGCCAAATTCCTGGAATTATGTGGTCAGTGAAAAGTTGTAAGCCACAGACTACTCTGTTCTCATATATTTTCTTGTCTTGTCAGCTTCCTATGGCACCTTGACACTCAAAGACGCAATGGGCCACTCTCTTCTTATTGATTTTTTTTTACAGAGAGGGAGGGAGAGGGATAGAGAGTTAGAAACATCGATGAGAGATGTAAGCCACAGACTACTCTGTTCTCATATATTTTCTTGTCTTGTCAGCTTCCTATGGCACCTTGACACTCAAAGATGCAATGGGCCACTCTCTTCTTATTGATTTTTTTTTACAGAGAGGGAGGGAGAGGGATAGAGAGTTAGAAACGATAGAGAGTTAGAAACATCGATCAGCTGCCTCCTGCACACCCCCTACTGGGGATGTGACCACAACCAAGGTACATGCCCTTGACCGGAATTGAACCTGGGACCCTTGAGTCCGCAGGCTGATGCTCTATCTGCTAAGCCAAACCAGTTAGGGTGGGCCACTCTCTTCTTGAGATGTTCAGTGGAAGGGGATGAAAGAGGGTATTGTCAAACCTGGTTGTCTCAAAACACATGAATTTCTGTCTTTTTTTATATTTGGGGCAAGAACCATGTTCTTAAGGAATGCTGAAATGTTGGATTGGCCTATCTTTTTCCTGTGTGACTCATTTGTTTTGTTTTAGAAGTCAATGCTTATGTAACAAGTCAAAGCTGATATTTTACTTTATGACCCTGTTTGGTGATATAGTTCATAGAAATACCTGGATCTTTTCTTTTTTCCTCATAACATTTATTTCCATCTGTAATATTATCATTTGCTTATTTGCCTATTGTTTGTCTCTCTCTATTAGAACATAAGCTCCCTCTGAGCAAGGGATCTGATTGCTTTGTTCATTGCTGGATTCTTAGGGGCTGGCATGCAATGTATATGCTCAGTAGATATTTGTTAAAAGGAAGAAAGGACATAACTGTACATTGGTGAAGACAAAGATGATTATCAGGCTCTTTACTTCAAAGACTCTATGGTGCCAATACACAGGGTATCCCAAAAATGTGTACACACTTTGGTTACCATTATTAATTCCAACGGATTGAATCTGAAAAGAAAGAAACATCAATTGAGCTATCGGCTGTTAAAGTGTGTATACATTTTTGGGGGAACACACTGCATACAAGTGTCTATAAATGAAGATGAATGATTTAGGAAGGGGATGAATGGTTTATTTTGAATATATTGGGTTTAAGGTATCCAAAATACATCATGGAGATGTCAATTGGTTATTTAGACTGAAAATATGAAGCTAAAGGGGTAGTGTTATGAAAATGGAGAGACTGGGGATTCAATAACATCTATATAGTATGTAGTGTATAAAAAGCACTAAGCTGATTTTTTGTAGCATGGAATGACTAGGGGGCCAAAGACTCAACCCTTGTGCACACTAATGTGGAACTGAGAAAAATATTTTTATATAATTATGACCTCTGAGCTAAGAAAACTAAGTAAATGGACAAACATTGGACATTAAAGAGTGATTGAATAGAGACCTCTGGAGATAGGACTAGCCCATCAGCAAGGATTTACATAATAATAAATGGGGAAGTTGCTTCAGCTACCACTGTCTGGACAAACAGAGGTGGCGCCCAGCTCCAACCTTTGCTAGGGCTTCAAAGGTACCCAGCCTTTGGGGGGTTCTCTGTCTACGCTAATCAGCTAGTGAAGACAATAGGTGGTCTTCCACATTAAGGTATACAAAATACATCATGGAGATGTCAATTGGTTATTTAGACTGAAAATATGAAGCTAAAGGGGTAGTGTTATGAAAATGGAGAGACTGGGGATTCAATAACATCTATATAGTATGTAGTGTATAAAAAGCACTAAGCTGATTTTTTGTAGCATGGAATGACTAGGGGGCCAAAGACTCAACCCTTGTGCACACTAATGTGGAACTGAGAAAAATATTTTTATATAATTATGACCTCTGAGCTAAGAAAACTAAGTAAATGGACAAACATTGGACATTAAAGAGTGATTGAATAGAGACCTCTGGAGATAGGGATTTGTCTCCAGGAGCTACGTTTTCTTATTCCAAGGAAGGAGGGTGCAATATCTGGGACCATCTGTTTATAATGCAAAGTATCATAGAATATCAGGGAGAAAAGGTTTATCTCTGTTTTTCTGGAGGGGAGAGTGCTAGCTATATGGTAGTTTCTATTTAAGTTCCCAGATTCATACATTTAGAATTATTCTCCCACAGTGCTAAAGAAAAAGTCACGTTGGATGCAGGGTTACATCTGTCTCTCATTGTGTCACATTGAAGGGAGAACATGGGTCATGGAGAACTAACATATTTGTTGCTGTAAAGTAATAATACTATGACTTTGATCCAAAAATCTAATGTTTGATTTTAGGGAAAAATAAATAAACATGATATTAAAAAACATTGACTAATACTTATGTTCTAATAAGAGAAAAAAAGAAACTATGACTGAGAACTGGGAAAGGGTGCTATCTTAGAAGATAACCGAGTTTTCCAATGTTTAAAGAGCTCCCAGGTAGATGGATTTAATCTAGATTATAGAGGGCTGTATAAAGGTCAGTTGTCCTGGAAGGCAAGTTTTGGTGTCAACATTTTCAGCGAGGAACCCCACAAACCGTTAGAATAAGAGAAGTAATATGTTGCAATGAAAATAGTACTGAACCAGGAATAGAACAATGCTTAGAATTTTTTCGCCTTCCTCATAGCCATGTTGTTTGGTGCAAGCAAACAGGATCATCTTTGAATCTCTATTTTCTCATCCTTAGTCAGTCTACTTAACAGGACTTTCCTGAAGATCAGTAATTGTAAATTGTAAATTTTAAATGCCAAAAGAATCTTAGATACGTTCTCCTGAACTAAAGATGTAAAGCAGAGATTAGGTGGCCATCTCTCAAACCATCTTGGCTGTCTGACATTCTGATAACTGCAACCCCCGATGTCTGAGGGCAACCTCATGGGGACCACAGTAAGAACCGCCCTGAGTCTAGTCAGCCCACAGAACCATGAGATACAATAATAAATTGTTCTAAAATGTCATGTAGTGCTGCATAGCAATATGCTTCAATGCATTTCTGTGTGAACTGGGAATATACAAGAAACTAAAATACATGAGGATTCCCAAGGCTAATCACCCTGTGTTTTGCTAAAAGTATAATCTTTGCTGTTATCACACAGTTAAGTGTGACTTTAAAATTTTTATGTGCTGGAGTGCTCATTTGCTTCAAGCCTCCAACTCAGTTCTCTGTGGGACAACTGCACTGTGACTCCAGCTCCCCCAAAGGACATAATTCAACGTTTCTTTCCAAAGCCATTCATGTTACCAGGGAGTGCTGCAAATATATTGCAAAGGGAGAACATATGGGTTCCCTTATAGTATTTTCTTTGTTTAAGAAAATAAAATTACATAAAGAAAAAGAAATGATTTTCCCATCCTTTGGGAGGTCCCATAAGCACCTGAGAATTGTTTGAGAATATGATCTTGTTTTTGAGAAAATTGTATATTTTGGGCATACTTTTCCTGACAATTGAACACTAATGTTCTTTCACCGTAGGTCACAGTCATTTATCAGCAAGGAGGCAATATGTGATAATAATAGAGATATACTTTAATTTTTCAGAATTCTTTTATATATATTAATAAAATTACAGAGTTTTAATGTGGGGAATCATGTTGGACAATAAATGCAGTCCCTTTGTTTTTCCAATAAGAACAATGGAGGCGAGAGGGTGAAGTGGTTTGCTCATGGACATTTAGCTAGTTGGTGGCAGAACCAGATTCTTCAGTCTTTGTCCACTATCCATCGTAGCGCTTCTGTTTTGGGAGACCTTTCCCTGGTAAATATAGCAACGCTTCTTTGTCTAGTTTTATAATTAAGGCAGAGTATCATTATGGTTGAGTGATTTAATTAAGGTCAAAAAGGCAATTTAAAACATAACCCTAAGCACTCTTAAGATCCCTTATCAACCCAGCCATTCCACTCCTTGGCATATACTCATTATTTTTTAAAATATATTTTTATTTATTTCAGAGAGGAAGGGAGAGGGAAAGAGAGATAGAAACATCAATGATGAGAGAGAATCATTGACTGGCTGCCTCTGGAATGCCCCCCATTGGGGATTGAGCCAGCAACCCAGGCATATGCCCTTGACCGGAATCAAACCCAGGACCCTTCAGTCCACAGGCCGATGCTCTCTCTATCCACTGAGCCAAACCAGTTAGGGCCCATAATTTGTTTTAATAGTGTGGTTGTGTGGGTTAGCTAAACAATGTAAGTGACATATATCACCTGAAATAGAGTAGATGATTAAAGACTAGTTTCCTTCCTTTCTATGTAGGTTATACAATCACATTTCATGGAGCAGAGTGGAAAGTTAATTGACTATGTTTTTCTGTCAAGAAGATACATGTTAAGGCTGTTGTAGGGTTGAAGGGTGAGGCTCTCTGGCTTTTCTAAGTCAAGTGCAGTTATTGGTCAGTCACACTCCGGAGGCAATTAACACATTCTCCGGACAAAGTTCACTTTCAAAAGACTTCTCTAACTCTGCCATTCTGATTGCTATTCTAGACACCTTGGTTGTTATGCAGATTTTTTTTTGTGTGTGTGTTGTGTGTGTGTGTGTGTGTGTGTATGTGTGTGTGTGGTGACTGCATCTTCTCTGCATAGGACTGGAAGATCATCCAGGGAATTCTTTTGGGGTCCCAGATACTTCCTACAAGAGGAAGCTGGTCCCCAGGAGCCTGGTAGTTTGGTACCTTTATATAGGGCGCCCCCCAAAAAAACTGTATACACATACTTTGAATAATTATAAAGATAGTAGTGTTTATTAAAATACATTTCATTTTCAAAATTGAGCTATCAGCTGTTAAAATGTGTATACGTTTTTTGGGACTCCCTTTAGATGAAGCAGAAGTGGCTTCCCCTTAAGTACTATTGGACCATTCATATGTAATAGATAACTGGGACTTTATTCAGTCCATGATGTGAGATGATAAGCAGAGTGAGGGCTTTGCAATTTTACATATTTGCATGCACCTGCTAGCTCTAAGTTTTATTAGCTTTATGACCACTACAGTCATTTGTCTCTCTTAGTCTCAGAGTTTTCTTTGATGAAAAAATAAGATAAAGGAAAAAAGGGAGGTAAAGAGAGGACAAGAGGAAGGGAAGAAAAGAGGAAGGGAGGGAGAAAAGAAGGAAATTAATATCTTTTTCACCAAACTGTTGTGAGAATAAATCAAAATGAGATAATTTGGGAGATAGAGTAGACACTTAATAAATATTTTTGCTCCCCCCCTTTTCTTAAAACTGATTTTGGAGTTTAAAAGCCTTTATTAAATAATGAATCTAGACATGATGGGTGGAGAATACAAAGTGGGAAGCCCAAAAAAACTGTATACACATACTTTGAATAATTATAAAGATAGTAGTGTTTATTAAAATACATTTCATTTTCAAAATTGAGCTATCAGCTGTTAAAATGTGTATACGTTTTTTGGGACTCCCTTTAGATGAAGCAGAAGTGGCTTCCCCTTAAGTACTATTGGACCATTCATATGTAATAGATAACTGGGACTTTATTCAGTCCATGATGTGAGATGATAAGCAGAGTGTGGGCTTTGCAATTTTACATATTTGCATGCACCTGCTAGCTCTAAGTTTTATTAGCTTTATGACCACTACAGTCATTTGTTTCTCTTAGTCTCAGAGTTCTCTGTGATGAAAAAAGAAGATAAAGGAAAAAAAGGGAGGTAGAGAGAGGAGAGGAGGAAGGGAAGAAAAGAGGAAGGGAGGAAGGAAAGAAGGAAATTAATATCTTTTTCACCAAACTGTCGTGAGAATAAATCAAAATGTGATAATTTGGGAGATAATTAGAGAAGACACTTAATAAATATTATTGCTGCCCCCCTTTTCTTAAAACTGATTTTGGAGTTTAAAAGCCTTTATTAAATAATGAATCTAGACATGATGGGTGGAGAATACACAAGTGGGAAGGGTATAGTCCCTGTCCTTAAGGACCATTAGATAACACAAAAACTTGTTTAACATAAATTAGATTGCAGAGCCCTGGTAGGGAACCGTGCCTAAAAGCTAATACAATTTCTTACAAATATCACTGAGAAGCTTCCAGCAAGTCCTCTTGCTCCTATGTCATCTTGTTACAATGACATTTCAGCCAATATATTTTTGGCTCGATGAATGCCTGGCTTTGTCCTCAGGCAGTCTATACTGTTTCACTAGAGAACTTGTCATAGTTAGAGAAACTCCAAGATGGGGACTATATTACTGCCATTGTATTGATGAGAGAAATTAAGGTCCAGTGAGGTAAAGTAACAAGTCCAAGGTCATATAAGAAGGAAGGTAGCACCTGGGTCTACCTGGTTCTATCCAAATCTGGAGACTTGATTCATTGTCGCCATGTGCTGTTGCCTCTCCGGGTCTTGAAGAAAGTCAGGAGAGCAGGTTGAATAGCAGAGAGCATGGCTTCCAGAAATGACACAATAGAAGTGTTAGCAGGTTCTGAAGGGAAAGACATTCAACAACTTGGCCCATCTTGAGTAGAGACTTGGGATAGCTATTGGCAGCTGCTGGAACAATTTGGGAATGCCACTGCTCCAGGTTGAGAAGAACAAAGCACACATTAGGCTGGATGCTTGATTCTGAAGTAATTAACTTCCTTGTGTTTTGTCGGTTGGGCAGGAGAAAGAAATGACTGAGCCACGACTTTCCTTCTTCCTCTTATTAAAAGCTCTGCAGTCAAAGCAGTCAGTTAATATTCTCATGCACAGGCACATGGAAACCAACCCTTCCCATCTGCTTATACAAAGAGCCATCGTGATGTGAGGTAAGGACAATGTAACAGACTTTATCTTTTAAGTGTTGAAGGGAATGGCTCGGTTTCTGTGAAACCATCCATTACCTTTAGAGTGATTTTCAGCATAATGCAGAGGATGCATGATTTTTACTGCCTTTTAAACATTTGCAAGATGGATGCTGTTTTAAAAATATTGAGATAAAGCTGCGCCTAGGGGAGGATGCTATGCGGGGGTCTGTGTGGTGAGTGTTAGAGGCATATGGGATTCTTTTCTTAAGTGAAGGCTGGCCGAGGCAAAGTCACCACTGGGTAAAGTTTGTCTTTCTCTCCTTTCTGTGACTCCCTCTCCCCTACCTCCGGAAATCCGATTCCTTCACAAAACTGCTCAGAGCAGCTTCCTCCCCTGGGTTTCATCCAACATTAAACACTGCCCTCTGACTCCAATTCCCAGAGCCAGAAGTTCAATTTTGTGAAAACAAAAGTGCTAAAAAAGTCTATTTCTTTCATCTCAAGGGGAGTAAGCATCTGCCCAGCCTTGCCACTTAACGCAGGGCCCAGGGTCAATGGCATAAGACCACCTGGGAATTTGTTTAAAATGGAGAAGTTTACGTTCTACCTGAGACCAATCAAATCACACTCTGCATGTTAACACGTTTCTCAGTTGATAAAAGTTGGGAAGCTCTGCTCTAGAGACTCAAAGTCCTTCCATGGGAAACAAAATCCGGAGCAGAACTTCCTATGCATCATGTCTTCCCCAATTCCATGTGGTCTTAACCTGTGCTGGAGTCTGAGGTCAGTTTGCTCAGTTTGGGAATCTCAGGGTTAAATTAAATTAAGCAGGTCATTAGAATGATGAAAATACTAACATACCCTAATTGCAACCAGCTGCCATGTTTGAGTACTTATATTCAGGTACACTTGAAAATTTTCTGATTTATTTTTTACCATAATTCTATGAGGAAAGTACAAAACATGTCTCTATTTCATGTGGGGAGAAACTTAGCTTCAAGAAAATAAATATGCAGCCCAAGGCCACAGAACTTGTGAAGTAGAGATTAAATTGAAACCCAGGCGACCCAACCCCAGAACCTAAATGACTGTTCTGACCCTGCTGAAAGGTCTACAAGCCTCTAGAATTCTGATCTGCTTTGTGAATCTGTAAACCACATCTATAGTTAAGGTTCCCAAAATGGATTTGGCCACAGAGCCCTTTGAAAGAATGGAAGAATTCTCTAGAAGAGACGCCACAGAACATCTGGGAGCTGTCTCCCGTTGTCCCCCGTGCGCTGGCAACCCTCCTCCTCTTGGCTTAGTGTCCCTATAGCCAGCCTCTGTGGATGGCATTCACAGGACACTCTTGCCCTCCAGCTTATGGTTAGATTCGGCCAATGGGCGTTTGATGGTCAGAGTCCAGATGGATGGAGAGGTCAGGTTCCTCATTCACTGGGCTCTCTACCTGCTTGACTGCAATGCATCTCTCTACCAAGGGACACAACTTCAGGTCGGTCATTCTTTCTTACAGCTTCAGGTTCAGGGGCAGGAATGGACCCTTCCTCTAGGGCAGCGGTTCTCAATCTTCCTAATGCCGTGACCCTTTAATACAGTTCCTCACGTTGTGGTGACCCCCAATTTCATTGTTACAAATTGAACATAATTAAAGCATAGTGATTAATCACAAAACAATATTTAATTATATATGTGTTTTCCAATGGTCTTAGGCGACCCCTGTGAAAGGGTCGTTTGATCCCCAAAGGGGTCGCGACCCACAGGTTGAGAACCACTGCTCTAGGGTGATTCACTGCCCCTTGTTGGTTTCCCTTCATTTTTCCCACAAGTCTGCAAGTAGGCCTTTATTCAGCTGACCAGCTTCACCACTTGATTATGCCATTTGTTTCCTGCCTGGATCTTAACCGACATATCAACAAAAATATAATGAGGTATATTTCAATGAAGATGTTTTTTAAAAAATTATTTACCAGTACTTCTTATACTAGTACTCCTTAACTTCTTCCTCATATCTTTCCTCATTTCCTGAATCTTCAGATAAGACCAGTGTTCAAGAAAAAGGTACCTCGTTTCTCCATGGGCTTTCTTCAGGCATTTCCAAGGGTATTGTGAGTATTCCAGGTGGAGGATTCTGGGAAACTAATATGGACGGATGTCGGATGCTCACACCTGAGGGAAATGGATACAGCAAAAACCACAGCCTGAAGCACTCCTTTCTTCTCATCAGAAACACAGAGGAGCATGATGTGGCCACTCTCTCAGAGGAAAACTGCTGGGAGCCATAGCGTTAGGGTCTCCTAGGGGGTGAGTATTGGGTGGAGGCAATGGATCCTGAGGAAAGGGGAGGCTATGAAGAAGCCTGCTGCAGAGAAAGAAGAGGAAACAAATTCCTTTCCTAGAAAGTGCCTCTGGCCTCAAGCAGGAGTGACCAAGTGGATCCGTGGGGTCTAAGGTATATTTATGTTTGTGAGAGATGTCAACCTTAGAGCATGTCTGAGTCCAGGCAGTGGCTGTCAGAACTGAATACCCCTTCTGGGGACAAGAGACATCTGGACCAGGTCAGATATGCTGAGGCACTGGGGTATGAAAAGAGTAAAGAGAACTGACAAAAAAATAAGAGGCATTTTGAAGAAACGGAGGGTGAGTTAATGAGAGAAGGGCTGTGGGAATAGCTTTCTCCCATATACCATCAACATAGAGAGAAGGGCTTTGAGGGCATGCTGCTGAAATGCTGCCTGAGCTCAGGGATGCACTGCATCCCCTGGAAAATGACAAGTGGACTCTTTGCCTCATTCAGAAGGATGACTGCCAGGACAGCAGCTTTGATCTGGATCCAAAGAAAATGAGAAAAATGGGAGCCAGAGTTTCTTAAGTAGATACTGCATCAAACGCTGGAACATAGTAGCCTCATTTTAATCTCCTTACAGCATCTATTTCCCCCCCTTTTATTTCATACACAAGAAAACCGAGGATCAAAATTTACTAGCATGGGGTCACAAGACCAGGATCAGAGCCCAGCTCACACTCTGTGCTCCGAATCTGAGCCAGGGATACTTGGCATCCTCCTCCTGGTCCAGGGAGGGTCACTTTCCCACCTCATCATGGATGAAGGGATCAGTGGAAAGCAGTCAGCATAACCTTGGAGTGGCAATAATTCCGGCAATTAAGAAAAGCTGATTCAGGTACCCAGTGCCTGAAGGAAGAGGTCTGTGAAGTAGAAAGAGGAAAACTGAGAAACTCCCTGAAAGAGACCGTTTTAAGCTTGCCATTTGCAGCCAATGAAGTTAATAAGGTGAAACTCCATATTTTAAACTCCCATTAACCGTATGTGTCACACAGTTAGACCCCACAACTCCCTTCCACTCCAGCAAATCTCGGTTGAGCGTCAGAATCTATTTGAAGTGCTGGACCACACAATGATTACATCGAGAGAGTTGATCTCAAATTGACGGTGCATGAGAATCACTGGGGAGTGACAGTTAAAACACAGACTCCTAGGCCTCAACTCTAGATGTTCTGATTCGATAGGTCTTGAGTACAACCCAGGAATCTGCAGTATAGCAACCACCTATGTGACTCTGATGGAGGTTGATCACCTGCTTGAAGCATTGACTTTGAGGCACTTGGGGTCTGAAATCTGACCTAGGAAAAGAGAAATCTATAGGAAATGAGGACACATGGCAGACATGTAAATAAAGCTAGTTCTGAAAGTCCGATTAGTATAACTCTATTTTTTCACCCATTATTTTCACTCTATGGTTTCTACTTTTTGCTCCTTTATCAAGTCACTCTTAATGCCATTTAATAGACTCAATCACTTGGGTTCTTGAAAATATTCTTTTTTTACCCACTACATCAGGGTGGGGAATGTCCAAGTCGAGGCCAGATAAGGCCTGAGAAATCATTTGGTCTGGCCCTGCCAAGGCATTAAGGGTGAGTTAATTAAATGTTTGACCAAATACAGCAGGCTAATTTTTAAGTTGATAACTTTGCATGGCCCATGAATGATGTTATAAATACCCAAATGACCATTGGCAGACAAAAGGTTCCCACCCCTGTACTACATTATCCAATCTGATATACCCTAAAAGGTGACTTTCCCAAACCCATTATATAATGCCACTCTTTTTTTTTTTTTTTAAAAAAAACACCAACCTTCAAGTTTTGTTAATGATTTTTTTATTTTAATGATTAAGAGTTAAAGGCCAGTCTCCTTGACATGGAATTTAAAGTTGTCTGTAATCTAGCCTCTCATTTTCTAGAATAATTCTTCTGCACCTTTTATAGAATAAGATTTTTTTTTTTTACCAACTATACTCTGAGCAGCTATTCTTCCATGTCCCTGCTAATATAGGGAAGGAAACTCCTAATGTCTTCCCACATTTCTACCTTGAGGGATGGAGGAGAAGGTGTGAGGATTACGTGTGCTGGTAAAACGTTAACAATCAGCTCTCTTTGGGGGGGAAAATAGGTCTGATTTTTAGCATTTACCAATTTTCATGCTGTCAATAATCCCAATATGGCTGATTTCAAGCGGACAATATTGTGGCACTGGAAGTGGGGTTCGGGAGCACTCTGAACAGTGGGGCCCTCTGAGCCTCGCTAAGCTAACTCCCTCACACCACTGGGAATGGTGTGTGAGAGTTGGCTTCTTACTTCACACATCACAGTGTTGTCTGGCTGTAGGGGAAGCTCTGTTGGTCTTTTCTAGAATAATTCTTAGAAACACACACCATTGGGCGGAGGGGTGACTAGCCTACATGCCAAATCCATTCCTCCCTAGGGCCCCCTGGTTTCAGGCCTGATGGCCTTTGTCCTGTGCAATGCTCAGTGTTCTGCTAGCAGCTGCTAAAATCTTATTGGTGAATTATAACTTCTTCACTCTCAGTACTTTCAAGGCTCAGTGACCCTTCCCCATCAGCTGAGTTGCCTCAACTCAGCTAATGCTGGGACCATAGTCTCTGTGCTCAGCCACGTGGTCCACTTGCCTCTTGGCTTATGCTGGTCACTCACATGGATTCCCCAAAGCAGGCCTGCAGATCCAGACTCAGCCAGCTTCCGAGTCCACCCTGGGTGCAAGCAGGGACTTCCTAATCCCTAACCCAGGCAGCGGAGGAGCCTTAAGGGCAATGACTATGACCTCTCTTCCTTTATTTCTTTTCCTCCACAGCCAAAGCAGGCCTGCAGATCCAGACTCAGCCAGCTTCCAAGTCCACCCTGGGTGCAAGCAGGGACTTCCTTATCCCTAACCCAGGCAGCGGAGGAGCCTTGGGGGCAGTGACTGTGACCTCTCTTCCTTTAGTTTTTCCTCCACACAGGAGGGTCATGCTAGTCACAGAGATTGTCTAAGAGAACTAGAAAGCTCTGCAGTCCTCACCTGATAAACTGAGGAGGGCATGCCAGTGCTCTGGGCTCCCTAACCTGTTTGCTTGTTTCTAAAACCACCAACTTTCTTCTTTCTGAGGTTTCAACTTAGAGTGGGTAGCAGGATATATATTTCCTTCTCTACCCTTCTCTTTTCTGTCTCCCTGGACTTCCATTTTTCTTGCTGAAGGACACCTATTTCCATTTCCTTTGAACATACCACTTTTCTCATATTGTGAGTTCTCCCTAAAAATGCAGAATATGCCCCATCAGCATGGCTCAAAGGTTGAGCGTCCACCTATGAACCAGGAGGTTACGGTTCGATCCCCGGTCAGGGCACATGCCCTGGTTGTGGGGGGCATACAGGAGGCAACCAATCAATGACTCTTTCTCATCATTGATGTTTCTATCTCTCTCTCCCTTGCCCTTCCTCTCTGAAATCAATAATAAAATTTTAAAAAATGCAGAATAGGAAGAATGTACAGTGGTTGGCAAAAGTAGGTTTGCAGTTGTGAGTACATAAAACAGCTTATTCTTGTATTATTATTTATTAATTATTGTATTATTAGTTGTATTACAATTGTCAACCACTTTTGCCCACCCCTACATGAACAAATAAATACACTATTTATTTTCTCCATGGGTGCAAAGAGAAATGAATAGCAAACAAAATTACAAAATTTGTAATGACAGTCAGTTAGGACTCAATAAAAAAATGGATTATGTCAGACTGGCATATATTTTTGAATGTGTTTTATTTGACCAATTAATAATTGCACTACATTTGATGTTTTTCTGGCCTTCGGAGTGTCTGCTAGACACCTATCCACTTTGCACACCAGAATATGACATTTCACAGGATGCCATTATCTCCAGACAGGAGGGCTGTCTCTGCTGTGACAAGTGGCAGGAAAAATTCTGGCTATCTTGCTTTCCAACCCTGTGATTGAGCCAAGAGTATAAGTTCTTGAGAGTCAAGGGTTTAAAACTGAACCACAGATGAGTCAGCAATGACTCTGATGGCAATTCTCCCAGAGAGAAAACATTGAACAAAGGGGAATGGCTTGTTCCTTCAGGGTCTTAAATATTTAGGGGGGTAATCTTCTCACTGGGTATCTCTAAATTATTTAAACTCAATCGGCCTGCCCTGTGGTCTGTTCTCTGCCCAGGATTTGAAAGCCTGACTATTTCCTTCTCACAAGCCTGTAGGTTTACAGCTTAATCAAAATGACAATCACCTGAGGCGTTGTGTCTATTCTAAAGCACATCCATTACAGGGTCACCAAGGCGGGGAAGTGGGAGGGGATGAGGAAGAAGTTCAGGCTGCTGGTGTAACTGGAAAGCAGATTCTCCTCTGCCTCTACACCTCCCTCTAAGGTGAGGCATGAACTTGCCCTCAAAGCCATTCGCTCTTTTGGAGGCCAATTCTGAGGCCTGTTTCCGGGGTCACTATGTGAACATGCTGGTTTCACAACCACATGGTATGTACCTGAGGACCAGAGATTCCAACTGCCTTTGTCCTTATGCCTCCAGATCATTTCTGTCCCGACACTCAGGACTTCTTTTATTTTGATAAGAGAAAAAATAGAGGGGGTTGAGACATTGGGACCTGACTTTGAACAATTAGGGGCTGACGTTTGATCGAGGGATTCTATTATTCAATGTGGAAGCTCCAAAAGTGGAATTGAAGCCAGTGGGTGAAATTTGCACTGACGTTGCCTTCACTTTTGTCTAATCAGTCTGCTAGGTCACACCTGCGTAGCTAGGTATACTCAAAGAGCTATGAGCAGTAAATAAAATGTTTAATAGCATTAAGCTTTCACTACAGAACTGATTATTGGACAAGTGGAGCTCTTCCAGTATCACTGGAATAAGCATTTCTGGAGGCCCCTGGGAGAGAATGAGATATGGTAGAGAGCTTTATTTCTGTGGAATTACAC